GACGTAAAGGAAAAAGCTCTTCAAAGAACGTGTTTTGTCGAAGGTTGGAACAAATGAGAACGAGACTGTGGCCACGTTGCTGTAAGCAAGCAGCTCACGCGTGGAAATCAGTGGACGAAAGGGATAAAGTTATCGGCGAGACTGCTCGTGGAATCAAGCAGCGCATCCTCGAATGGGGGAAGAGAGAAAAATGAGCTAAACGGAAGGATGTAACCACTGCATTGTTCCAAAAGGGAGAGGACAGACGGAACTAGCAGAAGCGCTGGATAATGCGGATTGGGAGAAGCAGAGAGGGCAGAAGCAGAGCGATAGCGGATCAGGCGGGTCATTTTCGTTGGTTTACAGCTGACTTTCTAAGGTCCAGTTGGGTGCGCAATGGTCTGAAGCGGTGAATACCACTCACTCATCCCACACTGTTGGATAATTGGGCCGGATGACTGAAACGAAAGCTGGAAACCAACGGAAGCGAAGCCGTGAGAAGCACGCGTTCCTTGTTCGGGTGCTTCAACCCCTTTTGCAGTCTATAGTCGGTGGAGTTCGGTTCAAAACTGCAAAGTGTGCAAATTGCTTTGGCGGTAGGGCTGGCGAAAGGAGATCAAGCTACACATTGGCAGTTGGCGATTGGCTAGCAGGCAAATGTAGGGAAAGCTGACGGTTAGTCGCAAGGTACTGTACGGGAATCTCAGTTTGTTCCATAACAGCCTTGGGGAACACGTCATTCCATTGACAGGTAGACTCGGGACCAACATCGAGAAAGCAAATTTGATTGGTCACGAAAGTTCTCAGTTGTAGCATGATACATGACCGTATGTCACTTTAGCGAATTGTATGTTAAGGGAAAAGCCAAGCGGGGACAATACAATGTAAACTACACTCAAACCAACCCAGTAAAATGTGTTCAGCTGAACAAGGCTATTCTCTAATAACGTCTAGAAAACCTAAAGACAGGGAATTGAAGTACCCTATAACTAAAAGTGCAGACACTGATGCAAATGTACGTGACAATTGTGGTGGGTTTTACCTTTTCCAAAGCTTGTTGATAAAGCCCGAAACATTCTGAAAAGGAAAAAGGGTAAAAAAAATGAGAAAGGGTCGAATGCAGTGGGCACACAATGGGTTGAGAGCAGAGCACACAAAAGGACACCGAAATAAACCGGTAAGGCACGCACAAGCGCATCACTCAAATAAGATAAGAACAAGTGCAGGAGAACAGATACGGCGAAAATGCATATGACGGGAAAAAGCAGCTTCAAATGCAGATGGACCAGTCGTTTCCTCCTACCAAAGCTACCTGCTCCATCTGCCGCATACAATTTTTGAGGCGCCTAAAAAATCGTCTCAATCTTTTAGACGCCTCAAAAATTGCCTTCCTACCAGAGCTACCTGAGCCGAGGATAGGGTATGAGAGGAAGGGCATGACACCAACATATACACAGACGCGGGCAGGCAGGAAGAGCCAGAGAAACCAATTCAACACCCCTAATGGTGCCAGAAGGAGCATGCATAGTCCTAGTTAATTGAAAACACCCTACTGGCGCTGTCAGCCTGCTGACCTACCTCGTTGTTGCAAGTGGATTTTGAGAATTCTCAAAAACCATCGGGAGCAGGCAGAGCAGCAAGTTAGAAATACACCCGACTGGTGCCATATAGGTATTTATCTAGCATCATGCCTTACCTTTTTTTCTTGACCATGCCCTGCTGCAGGCACTGCTGCCCCGCCTGCTGGTCCTCCTGCTCCTGCCCCTCCTGCTCTTGCTGCTGCCACACCCCCGTGCACCCAACCATTTCCACCGTACCCACCACCATTTGCACCGTACCCACCACCATTTCCACCGTATCCACCACCATTTGCCACACCATCCCTCCGACCGGGTTTCGAACCAGCAAAAGCAGCGGCAGCAGCCGCGGCCGCGGAAGCATCGGCAGCAGCATCGGCAGCAGAGGCAGGCGGGAGGGTGGCAAGGTGAGGAGTGTGTTTGGGGGGGGGTCGGCCTGCTGCTGCAGCAGCGATGTTAAGAGCTGCAGAGGCGAAAGCGTTGGATCCGGGTGTGTGTGAGGCAATACCCCTGGCTAAACCACTGCCTGCACCGAAACCAGCACCAGCACCAAAACCAGCACCAGCACCAAAACCATTCCCCCCACCGAAACCATTCCCAGGACCGAATGCTGGAAAGGAAGGAGCTCCCCCTAAAAGAGGGGCTCCCCCCAACAGAGAAGCGCCTCCCAACCCAGGCGCTCCCCCCAACCCAGGCGCTCCCCCCAACCCAGGCGCCCCCAACCCAGGCGCTCCCCCCAACCCAGGAGCACCGGGAAAGCTGGCAACAGGAATTGAAGGGTCGAAGGCAAGTTGAGGAGGGCCGAAGGCAGAAGCAGGGGGAGGAGCAGCACCCCCCAAAGCACGACCGGAATCCTCTGCACCACTTGATATCGCACCAGAACCGCCCAAACCGCTTGAAACCTCACAGAACCGATTATCAGCAAAAGGCAATCCGTTACGAGCCCCAGACCCTGACGGTAAGCCCATCCCTCGTTCCTCCCGCTCACTACCAGCGACGTTATAAGCGCCCTCATTATAAGCACTCCCATTATAAGCACTCTCCTGGTCAGCATCCCCGTCACTCATGTTGTGATAAATCTCGTTATAAGCACTCTCATCACACGCACTGTTTCTCTCAAAAATCCCTTGCTGCCTCCCAGCCCCAAAGGAGGGTTTCACCTTACGAGCCAACATTCTCTGCTGAAACACTTCTGTGAACCCCCCTCCTCCTCCTCCCTCCTCACCTTCCTCCTCCTCCTCCTCCTCCTCCTCCTCCTCCTCCTCCTCCTCCTCCTCCTCCTCCTCTCTGCCCACACCCCTGAAACCACCCCTCTCCACCTCCCCATCTCCCTGCCCTACGCCTCTTCCTCCTCCACGCCACTCCCCTTCACTAGACTCGAAGCTCTGTCGACCACCAAAGCCGCTCTCCATATAAGCATCCTCGTTACAAGAACTGTTCTGCTCATCAATCCGTCCCGGCCTCCCACCTTTAAACGAGGGCTTGGCCATTCGAGCCAGCCCCATCCTTTGAAACTTCTCAGTAGCCCCGCCCCATTCATCCCCATCCTCCTGCTCCGGGTGTAGGTTCGGGCTGGCACCTCTGGCTCCAGCAACATTTCCCGAACCTGCCCTTGCCAAACCACCTGCCACGTTTCCCGAGCCGGCCCTTGCCAGACTTTGGAATGGGGATTTCGGCCCCACAGGGTACAAGGCCCCAAAACCTTTTGGTACCGAGACTGATTTAATAAACGGTAATTTGCCGAGTTTATTAGGTTTCGCATGTGCCAAGCCGTTGTTACCGCCGGAAGCAACAGCAGCAGCACCGCCACAAACACCACCACCAGCAGCACCAGCATCAGCAGCATCATCCCTTGCTGCAGCTTCAGCATTCGCAAGAGCTGCTGTGAGCGACTCAGGTGCTTCCACCTCTACCCCACCTGCGAGTTCAGCTGCTGCTACTCTCAGCAAGTAACTTTCTCGTGCCCCAAGGCCAGACCCTGCCTCTCCAGCACCTGAATATTCACCTGTGTAAGCGAATGCTCCTTCTGCTGCTGCTGCTTCCACGTCAGCAAGAGCAGCTTCTAAAGCCGCAGCTGCCCCTTCCTCCATTGCATCTGCTTCTGCAGCTGCGGCTGATGAAAAGCGGTTGAGAGATACATTGTTGCCTGAAGAAGCTGCGCCAGGCGTTTTCTCAAGTGCCCCATAGAACCCCAGACCAGGCCCCACTGCTGCGTCGGGTGAATCCTCAGGTGCCTCATAGTATCCAGAACCAGGCCCCACTGCTGCGTCAGGTGAATCCTCAGGTGCCGGTGCTTCTGGTGCTTCTCCTCCCTCTACTCCCTCTCCTCCCTCTCGCTCTCCCTCTCCAACACTCAACGCTGCAGTCATCTTGAGCACCTGTGCTTTCCACTGCTCCTTCAGCAATGCCTCATCTTCCTCCTCTTCATCTTCTCCCTCCCTCTCCGCCTCCTCCGCCTCCTTGCTTCCCCCCACTTTCCCACCCTCCTCAGCTTCCTCCCTTTTCATCCACCCCGTCTCCTCCCCTCCCTTCCCCCTCGCCCTCTCAGCCTCCTGCTCTTCGTTTTTTTCCTTGTTCATCCACCCATCCTCCTCGCTTTCCTTCCCCATTCCCTCCTCAGCTTCCTCTTTTTTTATCCACCTTGCATGCTCCCTGGCAGCAACGCTAGACGCAGTTTGAGGCGCCTCAAAACTAGCAGCAGAACTAGACGCATCTGCAGGCACGATAGCAGGGGCTGGGATAGCGGGTACGGGAGCAGGGGTAAGAGGTAGGGGGTCAGAAATAGCGGGTAAAGGGGCAGGGGTAACAGGTAAGGGGGCGGGGGCCGCAGGCAGTGAGGCAGGGGTAGCAGGTAGAGGCGTAGCAGCAGCAACAGGAGCAGCAGCAGCAACAGGAGCAGCAGCAGCAACAGGAGCAGCAGCAGCGACCGGAGCAGCAGCAGCAACAGGCGTAGCAGCAGCGACAGGAGCAGGCGATGCAGCCATGGGAGCAGCAGCAGAAGAGGAAAGGGGCGGGATGGTAAGAGGGAGAGCGTTTTGGCTCCCCAGGACCAGCTGAACGCGCTGTAGCTGTTCCAGCAGTTGCATCTGCAGCAGCTGAAGCTCCTGCATCGTCGGCATTCCTCCTCCTGCTGCTGCTGCTGGCGCTGCTAGTGTTGCCGCTTCTGGAGATGTTGCCAGTGCTGCTGCTGCCAAGGGTGGTGTGGGTGGTGCTGCAACGGCTGGTGGAGCTGCAGGTGTTGCTGGTGGTGCTGCTGAAGGCACTACCTTCGCACCCGTTCCTGCTGCGTGTAAAGCTGGACTTGTCAAGTGTGCAACCACGCTGCTGGAAACATTGCGACTGGCAACTGCGCTGTTCATAACAGTGTCACTGGTAGTGGTTACCGTGTAACTGGTAACAACAGTCTTATCAATAACTTTATCATTGATAAAGTTGTCCCCAACGATGCTTTCTGAAGCGGCTGCATCATCGTCAGTGGTGCTGCTGCCACTATAGATGGGTGCCAAAGTCCCTCCGATGCTCCCTCCCATACCCATTTCTCGCCCCATTTGACCATGCATTGAGTGCGGCGGCTGCTGCTGCTGCTGCTGCTGCGACAGTTGCCGCTGCTGAGTGGTGCTGCTGCCACTATAGATCGGTGCCAAAGTCCCTCCGATGCTCCCTCCCAGGTCTCGCCCCATTTGGTAATTCCTTATTTGTTGCTGCTGATGCTGCAGCTGTTGCTGCTGATGCTGCAGCTGTTGCTGCTGATAAGCCAGTTGCTGCTGATTCTGCTGATGTTGCTGCTGTTGCTGTTGATAAGTGGGTTGCTGCTGTTGCTGTTGATAAGTGGGTTGCTGCTGTTGCTGTTGATAAGTGGGTTGCTGCTGTTGCTGTTGATAAGTGGGTTGCTGATGTTGCTGTTGATAAGTGGGTTGCTGCTGTTGCTGTTGATAAGTGGGTTGCTGCTGTTGCTGTTGATAAGTGGGTTGCTGCTGTTGCTGTTGATAAGTGGGTTGCTGCTGTTGCTGTTGATAAGTGGGTTGCTGCTGTTGCTGTTGATAAGTGGGTTGCTGCTGTTGCTGTTGATAAGTGGGTTGCTGCTGTTGCTGTTGATAAGTGGGTTGCTGCTGTTGCTGTTGATAAGTGGGTTGTTGCTGTTGCTGTTGATAAGTGGGTTGCTGCTGTTGCTGCTGATTGTGCCGCTGTTGCTGCTGTTGATACATAAGCTGCTGCTGCTGCTGCTGCTGCCGCTGCTCCTGCTGAAGCCTTTCATTCAAGCCTGCAGTCAACACCTGCTGGCTTGCCCCAGGCGGCTGCTGGCTGATTCCTGACGGCCGCTGGCTGAGTCCTGACGGCTGGTGGTTAAGTCCCAACGGCTGCTGGTTTGACCCTGCGGATGACAGCAGGCTATCACCTGACGACTGCCGACTCATTCCTGACGGCTGCTGGCTGAGTCCTGACGGCTGGCGGTTCGACCCTGACGACAACAGGCTATCACCTGACGACTGCCGGCTGATCCCTGACTGCTGCGCTCGCACACCGTACTGCTGAGGCCACTCACCGTTCTGAAGAGGCCTCCCACCGTACTGTTCAGCCCTCTCACCGTACTGCAGAGGCCTCTCACCGTACTGCATCCCGTGCGCATGCTGTACCCGTCCCCTTCCCGAATCACCTCCAGATGACTGCTGGCTAGCCCCTGAACCTTGACGTCCCAGGCTGGTCTGAGGCGTCACGGCAGTTCCGTAGCTTGCTGCTCGGCCGCTGGCTTTCTTTTTGAATACTTGAGTGTATCCGCCATCCTCATCCCCGTTATTAACCGCCCCGTTTGCGCGGGTCTTTCCAGGAGCGAGGGCGGGAGTGGCGGAGGATTTGCTTTGCCAGTCGCCGAAGGAGGGGAGGGCCACGCTAGAGACGGATGCCTGAGAGCGGCGGAGGGGGAAAGCGGAAGGGGGGAGGGGGAAAGCGGAAAGGGGGAGGGGGAAAGCGGAAAGGGGGAGGGGGAAAGCGGAAAGCGGGAGGGGGAAAGCGGAAAGGAGGAGGGGGAAAGGGGAGTGGGGAGGGGGAAGGGGGAGGGAAGGGGGAAGAGAGGCGAGTCGGAACAAGGGGAGGGGAAAGGGAGGAACGGGGGGTGAGGAGAAGGAGAGGGGAGAATGGACAGAGACAATAACAAGAGAATTCAGGGGGGTTTCGAGAGAAGAGAAAGGTCGTTTCACGTTTCAATTTCTTGTTGTTTTGACGCAAGATGGACTAAAGAATGGCACAAATTCGAGCCACTTAACAAGAAAAACTAGGTCGGACGATTGTGAGTCAAGCATTTATTTATGCAGGATGTTCTTAGAAGGGATTTCGAAGAGGAAGTAACAGCAAATGGCGAGATCTTTTTTTTTTTTGGGTGAAAAAAAACCAAAAAACCAGGTCCAACAGTGGGAGCAAAAAAGTAGTGTCTGACGGGAAACGATTAGTTCTAGGTCGTCTACCCTCACTGTTTTCGCTCTTAAAACTCATCACTGTCGCTCGCTCTTTTATCACATTATTCTCGCTTTTGTAACTCATTTTTGTCGCTCAACTATCTCATTATCTTCGCTCTTGTATATCATTCTCGTCGCTCTTATTACTCGCAACTGTTGCTCTGCTGGGTCAGTTAGCTTCTCTTACCTTTCCCTTGAGACGATTCTTGAAAACGATGCCTCCCTTTTTACCGCTGACGTGGCTGTTGACTGACTCGGAGCTTTCACTGGAAGTGACGCTTCTCGATTCATCGTCCATGGCTGTGACACAAAAACTTTGGAGAATGACACGTTTGTCAAAGAATATCCCTTGAAATCGAGAACGAGGCTGTGACCAGGTTGCTAGCACCAAGTAAGTAGCTCACGCGTGGAAAAGCAACCACATGCTGGAATGCGGGGAGTAACCGAGAAGCGAGCTAGGATAGAAAACGATGTGACCACTGCTTCCTTCCAAGCAGAGCGGACACACGGAAGAGAAACAGACAAGTGATGGTTGATAACTCGATAAAGAAGCCTAGGAGTGATTTGCTGAGCTGAGTGGAAGCGAAGCGACAGTGGTGTTTGTGTTGTGTCGCTTCGCTGAGGGCGAAAGAGAAGAAAGGAACCTGGGCGATGTTCGGCAGCCCAAGGGATCCAGCGAGGGATGAGTCGAGGCATCGAAAATCGACAGCCTCGCCCCAGGTCAAGTTGGGGTCAACCACAGTTGACGCCAAGTTCGAGGTCCTTGCGCAAGCGGAAGGACTTGGCGGTAATTGCGGAGGTCCAGAGTGGTAGGGTGAGGGCAACGGAAACAGACGCCTTGCAAACGCGAACCTTCGCAACGTAAACAGTTCCCGTCAGGATTTTTTTGTAAGCCTCACCCATAATTGCCAAACTACCCTGGATATATCTGTTGAGAAGTTCACATTTTTTTATGTCGCGTTTTGTTTTTATTTAGCTAAACGTCCACTCAAAACGCGAAAATCTCACCCGAATTTCATTTCATGTATTTTAAGATAATCATCCATTAGAGGCGAGGAAATAGGCTAGCAACTCTATCTGGGTGATAAATAAAAGTACATGTGTGTTTAAAAAAAACATACCCACGTCCAGTGCTTGGGTTTCTGATTCCCGTCCACCTCACGGGAAGCCACTTTTCATGCCTCGACACTGGAGCGGAATGTTTCCGCCAAGGGTGGGGGGGGTTCATGGGGAGGATGCGGCGCGGTCACAGGTCTAGGTTGGGGTTCGCGTCGCGTTTTTGGCCCACGTCCGGCATGTTTTTCGTTTTTTCATCTACTGACCGTAGTGTTTTGCCTGGTTCGTCAAGGTCGAACCAGGAGGCCCGACATTTTCATCCTCCGTCCCATGCCCTCCCGTCGATCCCCTGTGGCTGCCGAACATCGCCCTGATGAGAGTGAAGAAATCATGAGAAGGGAAGCCGTGAGAAGCACGGGTAAACTTATTCGGGTGTTCCCCTCCCTTCTGCGGGTTTCCGCTTGGTGTACTACGGTTCAGAGCTGCGATAAGCATTTTCCCTGGTTGACGGTCCGATTTGACCAACTGCCGAACGCTACAGATCGGCGGTTGGCGAATGGCCATCGGCAGGCACACGTGGGGAAAGCTGACGATTGGTCGTTTGGAGTCAAGCCATGCAGTGTTCCCCATGTGCGCCGGAGCGGACACCATCGGGCCACCCATCAGCCTTGGGAGATACGCGGTCTGTAATGGACGACAGGAGGAATCTTGCCAGTATCGAGTACGAGAATCGATTGGTTACGATCTTTCTGTACCGTCACGCAACTTGATACGTGAGGCTTATACGCGATGTTGCTCTAACGAAGGATACAGATTTTTAAAGATGGTAAAATATCACGAATAGGTGCATGGCATAATTTCTCAAAGGAAAAACATAAGCAAAGTGTTCATATTCAACTTTCATATTTATGTCCGCATTCATAAAGCTGGACGTTTCGAGGCGCGTCTCGTTGAACTGAACGCGCGTAATCTAGGATACGACCACCAGCATAAGCGATGCGCCGACTTTTCCAGTCGCCCTCGTCGCTCCCTCGCCAGCAACGTCGCACTCCAATAACCAGCGGTCGTTCGTATCGCACAAGCCGTGCGACACGCTTCAACGCATTCTTCTTCCTCCTCGTTCTTTCGCTCGGCGGCTCGCTGATTCTGCTCTGGCGACTGCAGCTCCAGCAGCGGTCGGTAACGGATGACGGGAACCGTTTAACGCTGTCGGAAAAAGTGACTGAGACGAACGTAAATGCAGGGAAGGCAGGGCAAGCGGAGAATAAGGGTTCTGGTAGCACCGGCAGCAGCAGCAGCAGCAGCAGCAGCAGCAACACCGCTAATGGAGGCGACAGTAATCTAATTACGCCTTTATTAGATGCTGACGCTGATGACGATTACGATGATGGGGATTTCTTATCCCTTGGATCCACGGATGCCACGTCAGCAGGAGTTGAGGAAGGAGCGGGAGCAGCAGGCAAACGAGCCGCGATTGGCGGAGAGGATGAGAAATCTGCTGATTCGATTCGCAAGTACGAGATCTGCAAGAGGTTGATTCGGAGGCCGCCGCTTGTGTGCGCGCATGGGGGCGATTCGTTCTCCGCCCCTCCCAACTCGGTAACCCCTTCCCCCACCCCGCTCCCCCTTCCGCCCCCCTCTCCCCTTCCCCCACTTTTTCCACGCCGTCCCCCCCGCCTCCGCCCCTCCCAACTCGATAAGCCCTTTTCCGTTTCCTTTTTTTTTTTTTATCTTGTGAGGTGGGAAAAACGGGGAAAGATAGAGGAAAAAGGGGGAGGGGGGAAAAAAATATCTTCATCCCGCACCATCCCCGTTGTTCTTGTTGTTTCAAATTTTCCTTTTTTTATGCCTGCCCGTTTGCCAGCTGGCAGCGCTCGAGAGGGCGGTGGCGGCGGGGGCAGACGCGGTGGAGGTGGACGCGTCACTCACTGCAGATGGACACCTGGTGGCACTGCATGACAGGTGAGAGAGGGGAAGGGGGGAGGTTTTCCGATAGGTGTGTGTGCCGGTACAATGTGGTGGGAATGGTGTGGTGTGCGGTAGTACGAGTGCGTGTGGTTTCTGTCTGGCAGATGCGGTGGAGGTGGACGCGTCACTCACAGCTGATGGGCATTTGGTGGCACTGCACGACAGGTGAGAGGGGTATCTCCCGGTATAGTGCGGTGTAGAAGGTGTGATGTGGGGCAGAAGCGGTGGAGGTGGACGCGTCACTGATGGCTGATGGACACCTGGTGGCTTTGCATGACAGGTGAGAGGAGGAAAGGGGTGTATGTGCCGGTACAATGCGGTGCGGAGGTGTGTGATGTGATTTGTGCTAGTATGACATGTGGTGGAGGGAGGGGGTGGGGCTGATGCGGTGGAGGTGGACGCGTCTCTCACAGCCAATGGACACCTGGTGGCGCTGCATGACAGGTGAGAGGCGTATCTGCCAGTATAGTGCGGTGTAGAAGGTTTGGTGTGGGGCTAATGCGGTGGAGGTGGACGCGTCACTTACAGCTGATGTGCACCTGGTGGCGCTGCATGACAGGTGGGAGGGAAAAGGTGTATGTGCCGGTACAATGCGGATATTGTAACTGTTGATGGGCACCTCGTGGGCACCTGGTGGGCACCTGGTGGGCACCTGATGGGCACCTGATGGGCACCTGGTGGGCGCCTGGTGGGCGCCTGGTGGGCACCTGATGGGCACCTGATGGGCACCTGATGGGCACCTGGTGGGCACCTGATGGGCACTTGGTGTACACCTGGTGGCAATGCTGCCAATGCATGACATGGTCGCCTCTTTGCCTGCTTTGCTCGCTTTCTCCCCTCCCTCCTTGCTCTACCAGGGATGTCCAGTTGCTCCTCAACGACCCATCAGCAGGGGTCCCCTCCCTGGTCTTCTCTCAACTACTTCACCTCGACTTATCGCCTCTGTTCTGTGGCCTGCTCTGCTACCTCTCCCCCCCTCCGTGCTCCCTCCTTGCTCCACCACCAGGGATGTCCAGTCGCTCCTCAACGACCCGTCAGCAAGGGTCCCCTCCCTCATCTTCTCTCAAATACGCCAGCTGGATTTATCACCTCTGTGGCCCGCTACCTCTCCTCGCGATGCTGCAACGCAGCAAGTTCCTGTTCTCACGCTGCAGCAGGCACTACAGGTACGATTTCCTTTGAGCATCTGGATCGCTCCTCTCAAATACGCCAGTTGACTTATCGCCTCTATGGCCTGCTACCTCTCCTCACGACCCTGCAGCTGAGCAAGTTCCTGTTCTCACGCTGCAGCAGGCACTACAGGTACGAACTCCCCCTCAATTTCACCTCACTTTCACCTTCGCTTCCCCCCTCTTCTTCCCTTCTGTCCGCCCCTTCTTCCCTTGTCTCTCGTTTGCGCCTGGGATGACGTGACAGGCTCTCATTGGCCGAGTGAAGCACATTACCGTGGATGTTAAGATTGCCACGTCAGCAATCGCTGAGAACAGGCACATGGCACAGCGGCTTTTGAACGTGGTAAAGAAGCTGGACAGACTCCGTTTGCCACCACAGAACCAATTAAGATAGATCCCAAATTCATTGAACCGCACTCCATCTCTGCAATCCAACACCCCTTCTCTTCTTCTTGCTGATTGCCTACTCCTTTTCCTACTGGCCTGTTTCTTTGAGACTGATTGCAGTTTGAAAGGGTCGGTGGGTGTGACGAGTGCCTGTTGTGGTCCAAATGAATATCAATGTGACTCCTCCCCCTTTACCCCCGCCCCTTCTTTCTCTCTTTTCTGAAATCTTATTGCAGTTTGAAAGGGTCGGTGGGTGTGCCGAGTGCCTTGTGTGGTCCAAGGAAGATCAGTTCATCCGCCACTTGTCGCGCATCCAGCCGTCCATCAAGGTGAGCCGATCTGGGACGTTAGTGCATGTCTCGTTTTGCTGCTAGCAGTTCTCGGCCTTTCACTTGAACTGCAATCATGCGATGTGAAATCTCAAACAGGGTACATAGTGTGGAGGAACTTCAAGACTGGAGTGGTGAATGGGGTGACTTGACAGGCGCCTTGTGCAGTCACCATAGTATCTGCACTCTATGTGCATGCATGTGTTGTGCTTCCTTGCGTGTGGCACAGGCAGACTGGGTACATAGTGTGGAGGAACTTCAAGACTGGGGTGGTCAACGGGTTGCTGCGTCGTGAGTCGTCGCATGTGGTGGGACTGGCAGAGAGCCTGGCTACACTACAAACCGTTAACGATGCCCATAAGTAAGTTTGGCGGCTGTTTTGGCTGGTTTCAATGCGTTACGATGATGCAGAGTCTCGGTGACCTACAAATTCTCTTCACGGGAGTGCGTCTGTTCATAATTAGCCATTCGTTGATCCGAATTCCCATTATTTTTCACTGTCGTATACCTCTCTACCTGCAGGGGAGGCAAAGAGGTGCATGTGTGGACAGTGGATGACAGGGCAGGAATGAGGAGAGTTCTAGGGTTGCCTGTTGATGTCGTTGTTACCAATAACCCAGTGCTGCTTCGAAAGACAATGAGGCGGCTCCAGAATCAGTGTAAGCATGCTGGCCTAGGTTAATCAACTTCGAAGTTTATGTGAGTGTTTCAGGAGCTTCTGATGCAGTTCAACACCTGTGTTTGGTTGGTATCAGCTTTTGGCAATAAAGGAAATATGCTGAATTTGCAGCTGGATAGTAATGCGTGAAGCCCCTGAAACACACGGCAAGGTGATAATATGATTCCGTTGTGCAGCTCAGAGTGCAGCCCATTCTACATTTAGATCAGGTTATCTCCCCCCCCCATTCACATGGTTCAATGGAAGGCCAAGACGCTAACGGCTCAATACAAACCAAGCGTGCAGCTCACCAATAAGTGCAGCTCCGATTACGAGCAACCATACCAGTGTTCGAAATTATTAAGCTTCCACACTTATGTACATCAGTCTTGCACTGACGACACACATCAATTAGCTCACACGGAATTTCTTGCCCTCGTACCCAGTCCATCCAATGTTGGACTAGGAGAACTGAGTTGAAGGAGCTGGAGGACAGGAGAGTAAATGGTGGCCTTTCGAATATTTGACTCAGTAGGAACCTTTGATGTATTCACTCAACCGTTTCACCTCCTCACGATGCTCCTCCACGACAGCAGCAACCACGTCGCCAATGCTCAGCATCCCTTTCATCTTCTGTCCCTCAACCACGGGAATGTGGCGAATTCTTTTGTCTGTACCATAAAGAGCAGAACAAGAAGGTTTATGTCAGAAAACTGCTAGTTTTCAAGTTCGGTCACCTTTGCTGTTTCTTGCACAGGGAACATGGTTTACTCACCCGACATGATCTCCATGGCCTTGAGCAGCCGTGTCTCCGGTGTGAGAGTGATAAGCTTATTCTGCAATGTCATGACAAATAAGATGGTTACCGTATGTCAGATTTCTTGCTCATCATCCTGGTAGTAGACTACTTATTTCAAGCTTCTGTGCACATACCTCGTCAGTCATGATGTCGCCAACTTTTGTGGTCTTCGAAGACCGACCCTGTACAATGATTTTCCGGAGGTAATCTGTGACGCAAATTCAGCATGATGAGTGCATGTCAGCGAAAGAGAAATGAACAACAAGCAGCCAAAGAAAGGTGATGTAAACATGCTCCGCGCATTCACCTCTTTCAGTAACAATTCCCGCGATCGTCCCGCTCGTGTCTGGCCTCATCACCAAAAGCGCACCGACGTTGTGGCTTGTCATCTGCAACCATGAGCACGAATCCATCATTGAGACGACATCGTAGGCTAGCGATTCCCACCGAAAACATGTCAGAATGGTAAAAAAACAACGAAGCTTGAGAAACCTCACCGATTTCACTGCATCGAACACGGTATCGTCCGTGGTGCACCAAAGCCACGAGCCGTCATTGCCGGCTCCTCGAGCCCTCAGAAGGTCTGCGATTGTGGCCTGCTCGAATGGCAGCTGCTCCTCCTCTGACGACTCCGCTGGGTTAGTGGTGTTTGTGAACGATCTGTACGGAGCAGCTGAACGAACCCTCAGCGAAACTCCCGCTCGGCTGCCAAGAACACGGAGAAGTGAAGCCATTGTTCAAGGCTGAGCGACAGGAGACGTGACTCGTGAAACCGGAATCTCCAAAGAAAAAATACCAGGACAACCACGTGAGAAAAGCCTGAGAAGAAAAGACCACTTCACAGGCAGTTTTGCCTGGTGGTGATGTTTTTTCAGGCCTGCCTACACGAGACCAAGGTTGTGACAGACTGAAATTCCTTGGAGCTGAATGTAAGCTTGTAGGGAGCAGAGAAATCGAAGCTTTGGGAAGAGCTGGCATGCACACACCGAGTTACAGGGCCAAGAGGAGCTTGTGGGGGTCTTGGTTCGGTAAGGTGGGGAGGTCTGACTTAGCTTTGGGTTTTGACGAGCCTGATGCGAAGGTATGAGGGGTTGTTCTTCCGCACGTGCTAATTTCTTGCCAAATCATAGGCAGGAAATGCCAGGTCCGATCATGAGTTGATCCGATGTGGATGAGGCCGATAAGTGGTTCTTTGAGTGTGCCACGCATGCTTGTGCCAGCTCAGACTCGGCAGTTTTATTCTCGATACGCGTTAAAGCGTTCATAGCGTTTGATTAGCCTGGAGTACACCGCCGTAAGTTTGACGCTCGTATATTGAGGGAGTACAAGTATCGTCGACTTTTTGTAACAGTCGTTTAGCGTGGTGTGAGGCCTCCACGTGGCTCGGCATTTCCAAGAATCTGGCCTCCTCCTCAAATGGGTTCTGTCGGTTTATGTACGGTTGATCTGGGTTGACTGCTGGTTCACGAATCTAGCACTTGTGTGACGGAATTCCAATTTCCATCACCTTGCCCTGCATTCAATGAAATTCACTGCCTACCTTTCCATTTCTCTGTCTAGACTGCTGCGGTTTTATCACGATTCACAATTTCTTGTTGCTTGAATTATGGATTCCTTGCTCCACTGCAGTAATTCAGTCCTCCATCCCGCACCGCAGCACGCTTTGCGATGCCGCATTTCAAGACAAGCAGCATTACGAGCACCCGTCTCCCGCCTCGCTAGTAGTTTCGGACCTTCAACATTTGTCGGCAAGGTTCACGAGAATAGGCAAGTTACGAGGAGGTTAAGCGCTCGGCTAGGATTGCACGCCTGCCGAGCTGCCTCCTCGGATGGTTCATCTGCTTCGGCCGAAGACGAGTCACCACAGGCAAGGAATTCGTACGCATGACAAGCAACAACGCATCAGTCTGCATATTCAGCAATGCCGCTTATCTATATAAGTATGTTAACGGTAGTCTCATGATTTCATTCAACCGTTTTTAGATCGTCTGTATGATGTGCCTTGGTGTTGACGTGTACTCTCGCAGGTGCCTCGTCCAGCGCGGCGAGTCTCCGTTCCCGATTCCGTTGATGAGAGCGTTCAGCAGGTGAGTCAGTTTCAGTGTAGTTAATTTCTTGAGGGGATGCAATAGCTGTTGCTGTGAGTGTCAGCCACTGTTTTTCACTGCTACTATCCTAGTCAGCTCGCAATTATCTCTGTACCAACAGCTTCACCTGCTGCCAATGCAGTTGTGCTGCTCGTTAGCACGATTATTCAATTAGTGATGTGATTCACCTGCGTCTTGCTTATCTTTTCAACCTGGGCTTTCAGGCCCGAGCAGCAGTAAGGAGGGCGAGGGAAGCAGGTCATCAACGTCTGATGCTGGACCTGCTCTTGCCGCTCATTGGCCCTTCACTCCTGGACGACTGGCCTGTAAGTCATAGTCAAATTCAGGAGTGGTCTTGAGACATTTACAACTTGTGCAGGGTGTTCCCGAGAAATTCAAAAGACACCCCCTTTTCAGAATTCAAACGACACCCCTTTTCACACTAAGATGCTGGACCTGCTCTAGCCGCTCATTGGCCCTTCAACCCCCAAACGACAGGTCCATAATTCACCATAAGTTTCAAACCATACGAACCCTAGTCTCACACTTTACATCTCCATTATCAACAGAATGCCTTTTGCCTGAATCCACCCTGATGAACTCACAGGGCGGCATTCAACAGCAGCTCCAAGCGGCCATTCCTCTGGTGGAATCGCTGCTCACAGGGCTGGTGGACGGTGGGGAGCTGTACACACGGCGGGTGATAGATGAGGATGAGGCAGTGGTGGCGTGGGAGAGCAAGACGGTAGGTACTTCCAGGCGCTTCAACACAAGAAGGATGCATGCTGCTGTGCGGTGGTGTGGTGTGGTATGGTGTAGTGTTTAATGTGAATCGCCTGAGGGCCAACCTGTTTCTTGCTGCTGGACGCATCCTCATCATGAAACAATAAGTTTACGTGCCCACCCCCCCTTCCCCCCACCGCGCCCCCCCCCCCCCTCCCCCTCGCCCCCTTCCGCCCTCTCGTGGCCGCTTCCATTTCGTGGGTCATTTGCGTCTCTTTCGCCCAACCAATTCGAAGGTTGCACTTGTGCTCTTCCCAACAGCCGAGCGCCTGCCAGCTGTCATGGAGCTGGCCAATAGTGAGCCAGAGCGCACGCTGCTGCTCATGAATCCACAGTGGCAGCCAGGCCAGGTGGGTTGGTTTGTCCGCTTTGTGCACGCATGTGAAGACACAGTTCCTGTTCTTCATTGCGAGGTCCATCTGTTCGGTGGGTTGGTCTGTCTTTTTGTGCATGCATGTGAAGATACAAATCCTGCATTCATTGCAAGGTCCACCTGTTCGGTGGGTTAGTCTGTTCTATTGTGCATGCAAGTGAAGATACAGATCCTGTAATTCATTGCAAGGTCCATCTGTGCATGAGAGTGGACGTAAATTCTATTCTTTGCGCTCCATCAACTTTGAATTCGCCTTTCCTGAACGTGTGAACTCCTGCGTGCAGGTTGTCTCAGATTTTGGATTTGGGAGCAAGCGCAAACAGGCAGAAGAGTTTCTAGACACCTTCCTCACTGCCTACAGTCTGAAGCGCAACCGCATCCGCTCGTATGATGTCACTCTCGTCAAGTGCTTCCCGGGCGATTGGCAGGTGCGCAAGAGAGCATCAATTGTGCATCCTTTTCCTTTTTTTTGTTTTGTGAATGTGTTCCGCTCCTCCTCCCCCCCTCCCCCCCCCCTTTCACTCCGTAACCTGCCACATACTCTGATGTCCTACTTTTGCACTCCTTATCCATCAGGTTTACATGTCGGATGACAGTGGTAGTGGGTCTGATAGCTCTTTCCCAACATATGAGATGATTGGGACAGTGGAAAACCGGCCAAGTTATCGTGACCTTGAAGCGATGGTGCAAAAAAAGAGCAGTCAAGGGAGCGACTCAGGTGGATGGTTTGGGCGCATTGCCAAGGAGATCGAGTTCCTAAAGCGTTCCAAGTGACTGTCCATCAGGGCTGATTTTATCAGGGTAATTACCCTGATTTCAGGGTGATTTCAGACTTGTCACTTTCTGGACCCTGAGAAATCAGGTTTTTCACATTTTGGTCCCTGATCCATTCAGAGTATTGCTTTAGCGGATCCTGAAATTCTGTGTACACTCTCAGTGTAGGGTTTCCACGGACCCTGTCAATACAGAGTACGAGGCCTGTGGACCCTGAATGCGATGTTATCGGGACGAAGATCGGGCGAATCTATAATGTCAGATTTTAGGTTGCTGTTATTGGTTGAACTAGTTGTGCTCTGACACAGCGCCAGTCACATTGCGAGTCACATCGCCACAGTGCCAGTCACATCGCCACAGTGCCAGTCACATTGCCAGTCACATCGCAAGTCACAGCGCGCCAGTCACAGCGCCAGTCACAGTCACCCTTGCGACACCAACAGCAGATTCGACCTCTGCTCCGTACAGAAATTCCTTTTGCGCTAGGTCAAGGCAGATTCTGCCTGAAATCCCCGTAGACTGTCAGATTTCGAGCAGATGTTGCGATTAGGGTAAAGAATGAGACTTCTGATTGAGACTTCTGAGTAGGACTTCTGTCCCCGGTAAAGAAAATGCGCGTTACTACGACCCTGATTTTCAATTATCGACCCTGAACATTCAGAGTTCACTACTTCTCAACCCTGAGCAATCAGGGTGCTGTTTTTCTGGAAAATGTGCCTTCAGGGTTTTTTTTTTTTTTTTTTGGTTGAACTCAGGGTACCTAAATTTGAAACGTCAGCCCTGCTGTCCATGCTTTTAGCTCTAATATATAACAGCTAATAGATTATGTGGCCAGAATGTTGCAGTATAGATGGATGTTATGCCTCTAACCCAATGTAGTAAACATGCCAACGGATGCAGATGCTATAAAATTGCGAGAGGGTTATGTTTGATGTGAGGGTGTGTAAGGAAAATTCCTTCTCCTTACTTCGCGTCCCCGCTCAGCGCGTACACCACTGTAGCCCCACAGTCAGCACCGTTACCACTCGCAACTCTCGCATCGACAATCCTCCCGCCACCTTCGCACGTCGCACCCCGACCTCACGGCTCGGCGGGTAACCCGCACTCCGGGCCTCCGCTTCGACACTTTTCCCAACCACAGTCCCAGGCCCGTCACGCGACAACCACAGTCCATTACCGTTACCACTGTAGTATTGCTATATATTCTTCGCTCATGCCTTCGCTCATTGTATTCTTGCTTCGATAGTGCAATTCTCGTTCGTTCACTCAATTGCACTCGTAACACTTGGTATCAGAGCCTACGATCTCTTCTTGGACCGCACCCACACCTTCGCTTCCCCACTATCTCAATTTTGGGGGGGTAGACGTCTCT